GAAATTTTTTTAACCGGTTTGAAATCGGATTAATGATTGATCCTATTAAATTTTGATCTAATTCAGCGTTGATTGATCTGGTTTTCCAACCAACTTGAATGTCATTTTTGGTTGTTGAGCCAATTTCGTCCGGATCAAACTCGCCTGGCTAGCCCACCACCGAAAAATTGCTCGTATACAAAAAATCTCTCATCAAACAAGCTTTATTCATGTAAAGCTTGAAGTTTAGGTGTTATATATGTAAGTACATAAGAGTTTTTTTTCGCTCCTGAACCAAGCCGAGGACGGATTGAAATAAAATCAATCATTTAATTTGGCTCGTAGCTTGGCTTGAATGATTCGATCATGATCTTTGAGCCAATTTCACAACCCTAATACTATATGGTTTACCATAGGCCATAGGAAACTGCGGCTTAGCTATGGAAAATAAGTTGACAATGACATCCTGTTTTTTGTGGTTTTATCTTTCTTCTGGGAGTTAAATTTGAGAAAATAGATAGCGTTTAAATTTGTGGCATGCATGCTCGTGATATTATAATGTTTTATATATATATATATATATAAAATTAGGGATTTTTTCAAAAAAAAAAAAAAGGTTTATAACCTGAAATAATGCACTTGGTGAAATACGGGAACCGTCTGGGTTCACTCATGGATTTTTTTTTTAATTTTTATTGTTTATATTTTTATTTAAAATAAATATATTTATTTATTCTTTAAAACACCCAAAATAATTTTTAAATGTTAAGAGTTTTTTTTAAATAAATTTATTTAATAAGAAAAAAAAAAACTTGTTAAAAAAATGCATCAAACATGTTTTTTTAAAATAAAAATAAAATTTAAAATAAAAAATGATCCCAAGCAAACAATAGAGTTATTTGGCATCATTTTCATTTCTTATTTTCTATTGAGTTTTTAATTTAATTTTATTTATATTTTATATTAAAATAAATTGTATTTGACATGTTTAATTAGGATGCGGTCTCAATAAAATTCAAATTATTTAAAAGTTTTCGTTAAGAAAAAACCAAATTTATATTTGAAAATTAAAATAAAAAATATGTAAAAAAATCTATTTTAAAAACATGCTTTGAAAAGTAAAAGTAAAAATAAAAATAAAATTAAAATTAAAATGAAAATGAAAATTATCTCAAATGGGACCTAAGGTATTGTTGGACCTGAAAATAAGAGTGATGCCTTTTTTTGAGAGGAGCGTTTTTTTTTAAAACTGTGAAATAGGTCATTTTTTATTATATTCATTGATTACATGATTTCATGGTATGAGAAATTAAATATTCATTATTGTTTTAAAATAATATCATGTTTACATCAATTTTTTATAGTCTCTACTCGATCGAAGAGATAATATTTGTTTGTTTATTAGCAACATCTAGCTTAGTCATAATTTTTTCTTTAAAATATATTTAATATTTATATTTTGTTTTAATTAACTCGTGATTTGATTTATGGTAGTCGTGTTCGTGACATCAATTTTTTTGATACAAACATTAACAAATGTGTGCAGAGATTCATCATTTTTTTTTCTAAATATGTATAAAAGTAGTGTATAAACATTGGCCATCTCATGATCTCCGATTTATGATCCGATTTGGAGAGTAGATGTTTTAGATTCGACTTGTGTTAAGAAAGGCAGAGGTAGACCTAGGAAGACTTGGGCTTATTGTATAAAAAATGATCTTAATTTACTAGAACTAAATGGAAATAGGACACTAAACAAGACGCAATGGTGAAATAGGATTTATGTAGCCGAGCCCACGTAGTGGGATTAAGGCTTTGTTGTTGTTGTTGTTGTTGTTGTATATATAAAGGTAGTGTTATCCAAATTTAAATTATGTAATGATTCTGTCTTTATTCTTCCTCCTATCTACATCTGTCTCTCTAAAATTCCCTCTGCTCTTAAGAGAGAGTGAATACCTTCTCCACAGCCTCTTATCTTGCAATATCACAAGCAATAAACACTATAGACAAAACTTAAGGAACCACAATTTCGAATTCCTTAAAATTCTTGATGGATCACATCAAGAATATGATGAATCAGCCTCTAACATATGAAAATTATCCTATATGGAAGTTAAAAATTCAAAAGCTATTCATAGCAAATGGTTTCGACTCATTTCTAGATCCGACAACCATGAAGAAACTACATAATATATCATGTGGCAACTCATAGATCAAAATCTTGCGGCAGCCATTCTTTCCACTGTTTTACCTTCTATCACTTCATATGTTTTTCACCTCAACAGTACCGTCAAGATTTGGTTTTCTTTTGAGAAAATACGTCAAGCCACGAATCGTTCCTCTAATTCAACTCAAAAATAAACTTCATCACATATCAATGAGCAACAACACAATGAATCAATATCTTACTACTGTTAAAACTATGGTGTACAAAATATAGTCGTCACAGGCTCCAGTATTGACAACGAGGATATTATTCTTTATATTCTCAACGACCTTCCCCCCTACTACCAAGGCTTAAAGAACTCTATTCAGGATCAATTTCACCCAATCGAGTTAGATGCTTCCTATTCTCTTCTTTTTAGCGAAGAAAGCAACCTCGCCAATGATGCCACCAATCCACTTAACACACTTTTATTTGCAAATAAGAGGTGTGGCCTGCATTCTCAAAGAACTTCCAACAGATCTTCTCTTTCTCAATACAAGCAACCCAACCCTACAGTTCAACTAACAAAGGCCATATATTTCTTGTCAAATATGCCCAATAAAGGCCATATGACAGCTACCTGCTAGCATAGGGCCAATTTACAATATAAACCTACGATTCCAACTTCAACTACAACTTTTAACACCAACATTCAATCTCCCTTGCAAGAATGGATTCTCGACACTGGTGCCACGACACATATCACTTCACATTTGAGAAATGTGCAATATCCCACTCCATATCAAGGTACTGAAGAAGTAATGGTTTGTGATGGGCAAGTTACAAATATCTTACTATATGGTAAGGGAATTTTACTTACTCAAGACAGTAAGTTACTTTTATCCCCTCTTTTTTATGCACCTCATATTTCTCATAATTTAGTATATGTAAATAAGCTCACTCGTGATAATTATTGTCAAATTATTTTTACACCTAAACATTTTTAAGTATAAGATCTCAAAATCAGGAGAACAAACCTGAATGGCCCTCCTAGTCAAGGCCTTTATCTCACTACCGCTTTACATCACTCCAAAACACCAGGAAACACATGACGACATAGGCTTGGGCATCCTCACCACAAAACTATAAGTGTCATTTCAAAACAACAGCCTCAACTTCATATTTCTTCAGTTCACTCTATATGTCAAAATTGCTTGCAAAATAACAGTCATGAACTCCCTTTCCTTTCTAGAAATACTTCTTATTATTTAATTGATATGTTGTAATCCGTTGTTTGTTACATTACTTTTATTGATTCGTATTCTCATTTTTACTGGTGCATCCTTATGAAGTATAAATTTAAACTCACACAAAACTTCATTAATTTACAATAAAAAACAGAAAAAATATTTAAGATTTGACTGGGGTGGTGAATATTGTTCACAACAAGTTTCAAATTATCTTCACAATCATAGCATTGTGCACCAATTTAATTGTTCTTATATTCTAGATCAAAACAGAGTAGTTGAATGCAATAAGTGTCATCTCGTTGAAACCACTCACACTACTTAACACGACACATCTTTCTCTACACTTCTGAATTAATGTTATTCTCACTGCAAACTATCACAAACAGGTTACCCCTCTACCCTCACTCACTACATTTCTCTTATCAACTACTTCACAACACTCCACTTGATTATCAACACTTGAAAACTTTTGGATGTGCCTCCTTAACATGACAACCTTCTCTTGCCACTAATTAGTTCAACTCAAAGGCTCCACCTTTTATTTTTCTTGGCTATAGCTACATTCAAAAAGGTTTCAAGTGCATGATCTCAATACTAATAAACTCATTATCTCTCTTCACGTGTGGTTCTTTGAAAATCATTTTTTTATCACCATCAGTTTCCAAAGTAACTACTTGATGTCGATCACATTGACATTCCTCCCTCATTCATGATTCTCACCTCTACTCTTCCTGTTACAACCTCACCGTCTCCTATAACTCTCCCACACTCTTCTTCTACCCCTCAACATATGCAATTCATCACTCACTCACTCCTCATCTCTCCAACTCACCCATAATTATCCCACCACCTCCCATTTCTCCTATTCTGCTCCCTCACTCTACTCCTCGCACTCACTCAATGAGCATACGAACCAAACTGGTTCTCTCGAACCCACTCAATTTCTCAACCTTCAACATCTCATTTTGTCTAGCATGCCTACTTTTTTCTCTCACGCTGTGACTCACCTCCATTAGAGGCAAACAATGTCGGGCGACTTTCTGCACCCTAAACCTAAATCCTTTAATGTTAGACTTTCTCTTACTTGCTGTGAACCCACACTGTTTGTAATCTTCTAAACACATTCATCTTCAAATCATGATTAAATTACTAAAATTGAATAATATGTTCAAATGTTAATGTTAATCTCTTGATTTTTAAAAGTGATCAACCCAAGGGAAGTCTTTTTACCACCTTTAACCCACAAATTAGCAACTTCTTAACAATCTTCTATCCTTTTCTAATCACTATTAAATTACCATCAAATATTATTTGAATAAGATTAAAAAATAATTAGAAGATAATTTGATAATCAGAAAAAAATGATTCAAAGATTGTTTAATTATAAGCTTTAAAATGTTTGAAAACTCTTGAAGATGGGATGAAGCATAATATAGTGTTTAACCATTGTAAAAGATACTAATTAGGCCTATTGTGAATGATATAATCTTTATCAAAGTTTTGTTTAATGCTCTTTTTTTTATCACTTTTTAGAATTAGCCCATTTGAATTGAAGTGATGTACTTGGAACAAGCTCTGTCTATTTACAAAAATTATGAAACGTGAATTACAATCCCAAATCTACCCCCAAATATTACCAGCCCCAACCACCTACTGACCACACGCCCGCAGCCAACCTTATCCCCAAATGTCCGGTGAAAAAGCTCCCTTCGTGTTCAGATCCCCACTCCCATCCTTTTCCTATTCCCCCAACATTAACCAGTCAGCTTAAACAAATCAAAACACCTACTTTTGCACAAGAAAACAATCGAGACACACAAGCAAAATTAGAACTAATGGAAATATTATGCTTCCCAACGTCTCGATTCTCTCCTCATCACCCACCCAACCGACGGCGCTGCGGCGCCGTCCGTTGCGCAGAAGTTGCGGTAGCGCCGATGGGTGAGAAGACGGAGTACAAAGACGGATTTTTTGAGAAGGCTTTCATGGCTTTGTTTTCTCGGAAGATGGAGAAGTACGCGTCTGGAGGAATGAAGAGCGGGAAAGCGGTTTGGGAATGGGATTACGACAGCTTTGTGGATGTGTCGCGAAGAGTAATGAAGGGGAGATCTCGCCGGCAGCAACAGGAGGTGGTGAGAGAAGTTCTCCTCTCCATGCTGCCGCCCGGTGCTCCAGCTCAGGTTTAGTTGTATGCTCTGCTTTTACTCTTTAATTTGATTGTTTCAGTAGGGTTGAGATTGTTTGATTGCAGTTTCGGAAGCTGTTTCCCCCAACAAAATGGGCGGCTGAGTTTAATGCAGCGCTGACGGTGCCTTTCTTCCGTTGGTTGGTTGGCCCATCTGAGGTTAGCTCTGCCTATCTACTTTCATCAACTGCTATGCGTTTTGTATCTGGACTTCCACATATACAGTAAAGCACATCTATATATTAAATTATTATCATTTATAGAAGTGGCAGGTCGTCGTTTAAATCAGGAGTCTTGATGTAATAATTTTTCACACACTTTTAGTTGTTTACGGCTTTATGGTTTCCGTAGTGCAACGACTTCCGCTTTCTTTATAAACCACTCAGTTCATATGTATATACATTATAATAACTAAACTTTAATTTTTTATATTTATAGCACCCAAATGTTTCATAACACATCAAAAGTATCTCCATTTTAACTTTTTTAAAGTCTGATGTAACTTTTTATGCATATGTAAGATGATATGTATGTAAAGATTGAAGTTTAGGGGTTATCAATGTACATACATGGGAATTGAAGGGTATGTATGTAAATCTTCCTAAATACAATATCACCTCATTTTCTGTACGTATGCTAATAGTAATTAGGGCCCGTTAATTAATGTGCGCTGGGTGCAGGGATGAATTTTGATTTAAAATAAAATAAATAAATAAATGATACGGCAAAGGGGAAATGGGGGCAATATTGTTAAATGTATAATTATATTCGTGCCACTCATTTCTTATCGGTCTAATCTGATGAGTTGGACATTAAATTATTGTTTTGATAAATATCACGCCAATTTAGTTATAAATATAAGGGGCATTTAGATAGTGATTACATGCGCCAAAAAAAGACATGCAGAAACAGAGAAAGGTGAAAGGTAATGCTATATTATGTCAATAGCCCAGTAACGATAATAATATATATATATATATATATATATATATAGTTGAAATACATATTTGTAGTGCAAGTAATTGGTAGTGGGAGTTGGATGGATTGTGAATGTGTTGGCATGATTGACGGCAAACGAGATATCCGGTCTCATAATTGTGAGATATTGTAGGGATTCAATTATTTGCCGACAAGTAATAGGAACTTCAGTGGAGTTGATAACATCCAGTGGCTAATTAAGCTTCGAGCTGGCAGATGAGTAGATACTGGCTTGCAATCTTGCATGTCTGACATTTTCAAAAGTTGTTGTAGGTACTTTTGTCTCCCACAAGAATAAAAATGATGATGTGCAGGTGATCTGAATGCCAAGATACCTCAATACCAGTCCCAAGTCCTTAATCTGAAAGGTGAAATGAAGGTTGTTTTTCAGCTCAACTATAATAGATTTGCCAATAGCAATGAGCAAACTATCATCCACATAGAAGAGGACATATGTGTGATGGATATGGTGTTTGGATATAAGTAATGATGAATCAACTTTGCTGAATTTGAAGCCCAAGCTTGTCAGGAATGTAGATATTGTGGAAAACCATTGCCATGGAAATTGCTTGAAATTGTGGATGGCCTTTTTGAGTAATCACAAATGTGATGGGAGTTGATTGTCAATGAATGCAATAGGTTGTTGTATATATACAATTTCACCGAGAACACCGTGCAAGAATGCGTTGGAAACGTCAAGTTGAAATATCAGTCATTGTTTCTGAAATACAATGGTTTAAAGAGGGTTTGAAGAGCAAGCATTTTGGTTCTTATGCTAAATGCATCATGGTAGTTGATTCCCATTTCTTACTTGTGTCCCTAGGTTATTAGGCGAGCTTTGTGCCTGACCACTGAACCGTTGAAATTGAATTTAGTGCAATGGGTCCAGCGATAGCCCGTGATGGGGGAATTTGCGGGGAGTGGAACCAATACCCATGTAGCTTGGGCTTGTAAGGACTAGAATGTCTCATTTATAGCTTGTCTCCACTGCGAATATTGCATGGCTTGAGAGTAAGATGTCGGGTCGAAAGGCTATTCCAGTTGATGAGATAAGTTGAGATGGTATACAGGTTTCAAATTTTTAGTTTTTGCTCATGTCTACCATCAATTTTGAAGTGATTAACGATCTTCGAGCTAAATTCATTAAATTCACAACCCTAATATCACTAGGGTTACTAACAATCCGAGTTCAAGTTGTGCTGAGTTCGGCTTGAAAAAAATTCGATCCAAAATTTTGGCTCGTTTATTTGATCCGAGCCAAAACTCAAATCAATTTTCGAGCAATTACCAATCTTCAAGCTAAATTCATAGCCCTATATTTATAACATAAATTTGTGATGATGATGATAACAAGTTTTTGTACACAAATACTATCATCAAAGCTGATTTCAACAAAATTGAAATTAATTTTGATTAGAATAAACTAATTAATATGTTTTGTTGCATTAACAATTTATAAATCCTGAGATTAAAAAAAAAAATCTTAATAAATACTCCTTATCCATTACTAAAGGTTTTTTGTATATGTTTAATAGAGATTTATGTATGTATGTATGTATATGTATGTATATAAACATGTGTTAGTTATTAAACAAATATTGAAGTTATGATTCTTCATTCTTATATTTTGAACCTGCTATTAGTTAACAACACTATAATAAAATTTCTCCGTTCTGTTTGAGTTGAAATCCATCTTTAGGTCATTGAAGTGGAGGTAGATGGCATGAAGCAACGAAGTGGTGTACATATAAAGAAGTGCAGGTACAACTTGCACTATAACACTAAATTTTATTGTACGTTAATACTAAATAAATTCACATAAAAAGTGAAAAAAGGATTCATATTATTTATTAAAAAGAGCCAATCAAAATTGCAAGAAGATATTTATCCATTTACTTGGTAGAATATTAATTTATTCATCTAAGTAAAATAGACCCCATTAATTTTACTTATGAAGGTTTATATAGATAGATAACGAGTTTATTCATGGCATTAATATTTCAATGTATCGCATTTTGATTGTAGATATTTAGAGAACAGTGGATGCGTGGGAATGTGCGTGAACATGTGCAAGATTCCAACACAAGATTTCTTCACCAATGAATTTGGGCTTCCGCTCACAATGAATCCAAGTATGTAGAGCAACACGTAAATTTTTCTCAGTAAAAGAATTAGTTTTTCTTTATGTTTTGGCCAATACATAGCATACAGCATATTAGCTTGAAATAAAATGAAGAATCTCATAATACTGTGTTTGAGCACTCAGGATGCTGTGTTTGAGAAGAAAGAAACGCTCAATCAATAGGAGGAGAGCAAGGGGAAGACACACTCTGCCCCTTCTCACTCTTCTTATTGGTTGGATGTAGGTGCGTTCCGGGCACTTAATATTTCTTCATTTGAGAACTTATCCCGCATGGAAAAAAGGAGACGTATAAAGGGACTTAGCTAATTAGCATGTGTCCAATAATTAATGTTCTTAAAGAACAGCCATATGCTATATATATATATATATAACATTCATATGTGTTATTTTGACCTCAATTATTGAACTACACATCCCCCCTCCCGCTCCCCTACCGGCCACCTACCGGCCACCTACCGGCCACCTACCACCCACCTACCTCCCACCTACAACTCTCTTGCTTCTATAAATAGAGAGGGTGTGAGGCTTAGGAGAGCAAGGGAAGAGATCTTAAGCTACCATAAAGGAGGAGAGAATAGCTAGAGAGCTAGAGAGCTAGAGAGGAGGAGAGCATCTTGAGGCCTTGTATCAAAGTGTGCTTGAGAGGGAGGTTATAGAAGAAAGATGAGGCCTCATCTCTATGTATAAGCATAAGCTATGTCATTTCTTTTGTCTTAGTAAACTATTTGATTGATTCCCTCCCGTGGACGTAGATTCAGTTGGATCGAACCACGTAAACGATCTGTGTTTGCTTGTTTTCTTTGCGTTTCATTTTTATGCTAGGAAGTACATATCTCACAACAATTGGCGTCGTCTATGAGAAGATCCATACTTCTTGGCTAGAAGTGTTCGTGTAAAGGTGTTCGCAGCCAACGACACAACGACAAAGAAGAGGAGTTCAACATTCACGAACAGAGGAGCGAGCTGATCGCGTCGCATACAGCCGAATCGCGACCGATTCGTTGATCGACTGGATTCGCACCGTAGGTTGTGCAGTTCGGTGATACGGAGGAGGAACAGTCCGCGAGCGAGGGCCGAAAATTTGCGACAGGGTTGCTAGCAGAGGATTTTGGAGCAAGAGTTCGGTCTTGCGAGAAGCTCGGCCAGAGGGAAGAGGTGGAGATCGCACAGAGAAGGGTTCGGGGGGTTCACTGTTCGGGAGTTCGCGAAGCAGGAGGACCTGTGCAGTTTGGCGGGGCGCGACAGCTCTGGAGAGGCAGTTATTCTCATGCGAGAGGCAGAGGAGGAATTCTCCGGTGAACATGTGTGATCTCTGCCAGAAGGGATCGAAGATCTCCGTTCGTTTGGCAAAGTCAGTGGAGTTCACGAGGAGAATGTAAGAAATTTGGTGAGAATTTCTTAGACAGCAAGGCGTTAAAAGGCAGGTTTAGGCTGAAAACTTTTGGTTGCTATACAATAGATAATCATTTTGGAGATTTCAGTCTAGCTCTTGGAAGTGCAGCAGGTAGACAGCAGGTATAATTCAGTGGAAGAACTCTTAGCCACGAAAATGAGTTCCGCCAAATTCGACATTGAGAAATTCAATAGGAAGATCAGCTTCGGCCTATGGAGAGTAAAGATGAGAGATCTATTGTTCAGCAGGGTATTGCAGAAGCCTTGCAAGGGTCGGTGACATTGCCGGCCGACATGACCGAGAAGGAGAAGATCGGCATAATGGACAAGGCCCACAGTTTGGTAATCCTGAGCTTGGGCGACAACTTTCTGAGGGACGTGTCGAGGGAAACAATGGCTTATGCACTTTGGGCCAAACTCGAGGTACTCTACCTGACAAAGTCTCTGGCTAATAGGTTCTTTCTGAAACAGTGCCTATACTCCTTCAAAATGCATGAAGACAAATCCGTCTCAGAGCAGATCGACTAGTTCAACAAGATCATTGACGACCTCGAGAACATTGACGTCAAGATGAACGATGAGGACAAGTCACTGCTATTGTGAAACTCTATTCTAAGAGCTACAAGCATTTCAAGGATGCGATGCTCTATGGAAGGGTGCAAACTATTACTCTGGAGGAGGTTCAATCTCTGATTATAGTCAAAGAACTTCAGAGGAAGCATGACAGGGACAAGGAAGTCAGCGGAGACAGTCTTATTGTCAGAGGAAGATCAGACATGAAAGATTCAAGAAATGGTCAGTACAGATCAAGGTCAAGCAAGGATGGCGGGAATCAGTCATCAAGGGGACCTTTCAAGTGCTATCAGAGTCACAAGGACGATCATTTCAAGAGGAACTGCCCAGACAGGAAGAATAGCCCAGGAAGGGAAGAAAAAGTACAAAGAAGAGCCAGAAGAATCAGGAGAGGCAAGCGTAGCCTTTGATGACTACGATTCTACTGAGGCTCTGAGCCCTGGTGATCACAGAATCTGAATCCAGTAAAGAGTGGATCCTCGACTCAGGGTGTTCTTTCCACACGTGTCCTCACAAAGACTGGTTCAAGACACCTCTGTTCTACTGGGAGACAATAAAACTAACAGGGTTTTTAGAAGTGGATCAATCAGGATAATGATGTTTGATGGAGTTGAACGAGTACTAAAAAATGTCAGGTACGTACTAGAGCTCAAAAGTGATCTGATTTCCTTAGGTACGCTGGAGTCAAGCGGATGCTTGTTTAAGGCAGAGAATGATTTTCATTTTCTTATGTTTTTTTATTGTACGGCCCTCGTATCGTCATACAAGGAGTCAGGAAAAAGGGGCTATACTCTCTTATCGGAAGAACCGTGATTGCTAAGTCCATGTACTGTTTTGTACTGTTTGGACTTAACA